TCTAGGATACTAACGATTACTTACCAAATGCTCCACCTTCTTAGGAATCGTATAAAGTGTATCAAAAGTCTCAATAACATCTGTGATTGGAACCACTGCGATCTTCGCCTTCTCCGACGTCTTCTTGAACTTCTGCACCTGGGAACCGACGCCTTGCCACGCGGGAAGGTCGAATGAATCCCAGGAGGAGTAGAAGCCAAGTCTCCATGGAATGACGTCTCCTAACTGGTTCATCGTTCGTTGACATGATGCATATACAGGCCCGTATGCACATGAAAACTGCCGTGGAGCTGCAAAAACCACGCCATCCAATTTCGGTAGAGCCTCTTTGATTTTCGTGGACCAGTACTGAAAATTTTTGGGTTCGTTCAGAATTTTTTAGGGGATCAAATTGGGCAGTACATCAGCTAGAATCGAATGATTATCCCATCGCCAAACGGCACGCACGTCATACGAATAATCAGAATTCTGCTCGATTCTGCTGCTCACGATTTCTCGATTTCCTTGGAACAGAGGAGCTGGAAAATGGTTTTTTATAAATTAGCGCAAAAAATACGTTTATTTTCCGGATTTTTTTTTCGAGCGTTTTCAGTCCATTTCTCCGAAAAATAACAGAAAAATCGACGAAAAAAACATTCATAGGTTGTTGTGGGACCTTCTCAATTTTCATCAAAACTCACACGAAGTTTTTTCAATAATATTTGCAGATTCCACTAAAAGATTTTCAGATTCAGAATTGGAAAAGTGCGGATAGAGCGGCATGAAGATGTATCGCTGGGCACGATGTCTGGAAATTCTTTTTTTCAGATTTTTTCAATTTTTAAAGTTCCTCACGACTTAATTTCTTTCAATTTCTCTTCAAACGGAATTTCGTCAAAATGAAAAAGCCTTGAAACCCGAAACGGACCGTGCTCAGGCACAACTGTATCCAGCGATTCTTCCACTCGTTCTGCCAACTTCTCCACTTGCGATTCGAGACTCGGAACATCTTTATACGCCGAAATACATCCCTTTAGACTGTCATTCATCATTTTTCCATTGGCAATTGTGCTTTAAAAATTAAATAACTTTTTAAATTGTGAAATTTTCGCGAACCTATGAACGAAACTTGGCAACCGAAACCGCGAATTTCGTGCTGATTGTTTTTTGAGGAATTCTCTGGCATGAAATTCGTTCCATGGCTGACCGGGGTGAAGAAGGATCAGCTCGGTTTGGGGCGATCGAGCTGGATCCGCTGTGAAATGAGATCTTGCCTGAAAACTTTTCTTTTTGGATGATTTTTGCATTTGGCAAGTTCTCTTACCGCAATTTTAAACACTTTTGCATTTTTTGAAATCAGCATTTTGAAAATATTTGTCTATTTTCCTTTTCATAAATGCATTCTGTGGAAACTGCGACGAGACAGTGAGCTAACAGAAGAGACGCAGACACAACAAGCGCGATGGGGCGTCCGTGTTTCTCAATGATTTCGAGGTTGTCAGTAAAACAAACTCGATTTATTCTTTTAAAAAATCTGGAAAAAATTATAGTTTGGTCGAAAACTCCTGAATTTTCGACTTACTGCGCAGCGGCAAACTTGTCCGCTGATCTCGATTTCTCCGTTTCCAAATATAGCTGTCTTTGGTGCATCTGACGACTGATTTTAATTTCTTCTAGTATTACTCGTTATTGATATATATGCTCCCCTATTTTTTCTTCTTCTACCGGTTACATTTTTCCTGTGCCAAATATCTAAATTATCCCGTTTTCCCTCCCCTACTCAGATCGGCCTCGTGGGGGGCATTTTCTGAGTCTTTCATGTCTTGCCCTCTAATGTTTTACTACACCTGATCAATAAACAAATTACAAATTACAATTTCTGCCATCCAGACACTATTAACAGTCTCCCAACAAACTTTGAGCTGCTTCTCATCTGTTGGAACTGGCATCGAGATTCAGCTGAACGTTAAGGCCAGATGGGAGCTTGGTGATGTTATCAATGATTTGCATGAATTTCACTTTTTGCTTCTTGAAACTATCATCATATTTCATCCGCCACATCTCTTGGAGAAAATTTTCCGGGAAAAGGGGCGGAGTTAAAATTGCAACCCCGGCACGGTTTTTCTCATGACCGTATTCAAATTTACAAGAAACGCTGTTCGGAAAAACCGTACCAGGGTTGCAATTTTGGCTCCACCTATAAAAACAGCGATTTTTTCGGAACGTATTTTAAAATTTTTTTTCGCTCCTTTTTTCTTTAGGTCGCAAAATTCGCTGTGTAGCGACTCAGTAATTCATTTTTCAGAATGCGCGTCGATACTCAGCGCGCTTAACTACAGTATTCGCGTTAGAGCGCATTTACTTTAGAAAATTCACAGTTTAAAAAATTCACCGTGTAAAAACCAGCTAAATACGCTGAAAGATCAGTAATGGGGNCNGNNNNCANAATCGGCCCCGGCGGCGCTCCACCACCACTGCTCCCACCGAAGCCGGAACCTCGTCACGTCTTGTCGGAATCGGGTCTCCAACGACTCCTCCAGCTACGACAGCCGAAGATGATGAGAATGCGAATAGTCGGCGATCGGTAGCTGATATGGCGAAAATCTTCCAAAAATAAATTTCTCTGTATTACCTCGCTCTTTGTTTTATCTCTAATCCCTGTGACTATTTTTATTCATGCAAGAAAAACGGATTCCATAAGTATACTTTGAAAGAAAAACGGTCACACACAAAAATTCTAGTTACATTTTTATAGTCTTATCTCATTCTGTGTATTTCTTCCTTTCTGTATTTTTTTGTTCTTAACTCAGTTTTACACCATCTAGACCCCCTTATTTCTCTAGCATATTCTTCTGTATGTATTGGTGCGAGTATCCAGCATTTCCTGCAGGCACAAAAAACGTCTGCGAAATCCCCATGTCTTTTTTATCCGAAGCTGTTCACTTTTCTTTGTTAAATGCACAAAACGCGGTTTTATATCATGTTCATTTTGAATGAATTCGCATGGATTATATTGGATTAGTATT